AAAAAAAAAAAAAAAAGAAAGAAACCCTGTCTGGGGTGGGAGCTCTCCTACTTTGATTATACCCTACCAACCACACACATGCACAGCAATCATATCTGAGGTCTCTGCTTTCTGTCCCTCCACCTAGGACAAACTGCCTGGCAAGATAACTTCATCTCACTGAAACTTACACTACTGCCTACCTATCTAAAACCAGAACCTAGGTCTATGGATGTGACTCAGTAGTAAAGCATTTATTTGCCTAGCTAGTATGTGAGTGGTCCTGGACCCCATCTCCAGCACCAGAAAGAAAATAATAAAGGAAATCAGGCAACTTTGGTTCCCATCCTTCCTGTTACTGCCTGGCAAAACAGTGTCCCCAGCTGTTTGTGGAAAAACATAGTAGAGTAAGAATGCCGTCAACCCTCAGCATGTTCCAAAGTGGACATGTAGAGCTTGCATAAACATAACACAGTGCACAGGGGATAAGGCCTCTGAAATCAAGATTACAGGCATGTGATGCCTGTGTGGCTTGTCACTTCTGTGCCACGTCCTATGAAGAGGTTCAGGAGTCAATGAGAATAACAGACACAGCTTCAAGGAGTGAGTACACGAGACTCGTGACTGTATGTGGTGGTCCCTTTCTCTTCAGCTACTTGCAAAAGTATCCCACAAGGGGGCTGGAGAGATGGCTCAGAGGTTAAGAGCACTGACTGCTTTCCAGAGGTGCTGAGTTCAAATCCCAGCAACCACATGGTGGCTCACAACCATCTGTAATGAGATCTGGTGCCCTCTTCTGGTCTGCAGCATATATGTAGGGAAAATACTGTATACATAATAAATAAAAATCTTTAAAAAAGAAAAAAGAAAAACCAAAAGGGAAAAAAAAGTATCCCACAAGGAACAGTAAAAATAGATTTTGAACTAAGTTACATTAATATAGACACCAAATTCTCGCCTATAGGCCCTAAGCTCCCAGAAGGCCTTGCACTCACTCTCCTGTGTCACCCCTGGCCAGAGCTAGATGGATGTTGAGGGATGAAGAGGGTGATAAGGGTGGTACACAAAACAAAGAGAGCACCCTGACCTTTCCACAGCCAGGCACCTCGACACCATCCACGGGCCGGGGAATCTCAATGGACTTGACCAGCCCATACTTGCTGCACTCGTCTCGCACATCCTCTACAATCTCCTCGTACTCCTCATCATCCAACAACTCTTCAGGCAGCACCATGTTCATGAGGCATAGGACCTCAGTCGGGTGACCGCCCATCTGCACCTGAGAGCTCATCAGGCCGGGCACTTGAAGGGTTACAGGTGTCTGATTGATGGTACTCTATGGGTCAGGGAGAACAGAGATGTCACAAAATGGCTCAGACTAGCCTCCCTCCATTCAAGCCTGTGCCTCTCACATCCAACTAAGGGGAACCATTCCTCTACTAAGACACTTATGAACCCACTGCCCAACTGCCCAAATCCCCTCCCATGAAAACTGGGGCAGAATTTAAGACAACCTTCCCATCCAACCCTTCCCACCCCCAGGGTCCCTCTAGCCAATGGAAGATGACGTGCCGGGAGGCTCACCAGCGTGGCATTCTTGGCTCCCACACTCGCCCTCTGGACAAGCAGCTTCTTGTCCCCTAGCTGCATTCCATTCAGCCCCGCAATGGCCTATGATCAGAGGACGAAGGGTGGAAGGGGTGCGGGAGAGGCACAGGTCAGGAACCAGGGGACCCAGCACTTCCCCCAAAGAACCAGGCATTGGTGGGGAAAGAATGGAAGGCAAAGGGCATTTAGTTTGGAAGGAGGCAAAACCAAGGGAAAAGGAATGAACCCCCACAAGGCCTTGCTTCAGGCTAACCACCTCCCACCCTAGCCTAAGGAGGAGACCTAGGCTTGGAAACAGCAAAGTTAAGAAGGGCAAATGGAGCAAGCAGCTAGGCACCCAGAGCTCACCTGATCTGTGACGTTGATGTCCACGTACTCACAGAAGGCATAGCCCTTGGAGAGCCCTGTGGCACTATCTTTGACCAAGTTGAAGGCCTTCAGAGGCCCAAAGGATGTCAGCAATTCTTTCACCTGCAAGAGGCCAACAATCCATCAAGGTTTGATCAGACTGAGATGGGTGGCTAGCAAGGGGGCAGAGGATTTACCTGGTCATCATTCAGGTAGTTGGGCAAGCCCCCGATGAACAGTTTGTGGGCAGAGTCTGGAACTACAGTGGACACAACGCCTAAAAACAAAATGTGTAAAGACTTCAATTCCAGTACAGTCATTTCCCAACATGCAAGGAGAAAGCTAGAAGTGGTGACATACATGCTTGTCTATCAGCACTTGGAAGGCTAAGGCAGGAAAGGAAGCCATCTTAAAAAAAAAATCTGAGTCCCTTTCCAAGTCCCATCCTACCTGAGATACCTAATAAAGGTGGGAGGAAGCCACAGTATACACACCCCTATATTCTGACAAATACATGAGCATAGAACAGCAACACCTGAACATGAAAGATCCCCCTAAGATCTGACAAACACCCAGAGACATCTCCTTCAGTGAGGGGTGGCCTGTTACTGAGGTAGTGTGACAAGGAGCTGGAAGGCTGCTGAGAATTTCAGTGTTGGCTGCCACATCAGTGATGACTAGAGGGAATTTTGCTTGCTTTCTCTACTCAACTCTGGACCCATGTGGATAGCCAGACAGTTCACCATGCAAGCTTCACCAATATTATCACTTAAGTCTCAGAGACACCAGAGCCGTACCCCAGTAGTAGAGTCATATAGACCACAAAAGACCTAGTTCAAGGGCACCGTGACAAGCAGAAGCATTGAGAGCCAGGTCATATTCAGTGCTGCCATAGGCCAGGAACAACTACTTTAAAAATCTACCATCTGGGACTGGAGAGATGGGTCAACAGTTAAGAACGCTTGTTGCCCTTGCAATGGACCCAGGTTCAGCTCCCCAGTACCCACGTTATGGCTCACAACCATCCATAACTCCAGTTCCAGGAATGCAACTATCTCTTCTGACATCCTTGGACACCAGGCATGCATATGGTACACAGACACGTATGCAGGCAAAAACACTCATACACATAAAATGAAATTAGAAAAAAATCTACCTCAGTAGGTATAAATGTTTCCAGCTATAATACAAAAAGAAGTCCTAGAAGTAGGAAAAAGTGACTTCTAGAGCCCAACTCAACAGTGCCTTTCAAAGGCAGCTCAGCAGGCTTGGCTCCCCCACACACACAAGTGAGCAGTAAGGCAGGTTACAGCAGCAGCTGGACCAAGTCCAATCTGGTAATCACTGTGCCATATCTCAGAAGTAGCCCAAGGTAGGACCCAAACAAGGTACCCTGTGTTCAATTCTACACCTACAGAAATAGGAAGATCACCACACTACACAGCACACATAGACAGCATTCTAAGCCACTTAACCCCTAATCCAAAGGATACAAGGTGCCAACACTGGTGACCAAGAAGAGCTTCATTTCTGTGGAAAAGCAGCTCAGGCTTCCACTCTCGGTTATAGCAATCTAGTTACCAGCGCACACACTCTCACTAGGGGGTGAAGTCAGCCTTCCAATTTACACAGTTTTTTAATCAAGATGTTTATTAGATTTCAAATATTTTCCTCTTTAGTCTATGTAGTAACATTTGTTCTCCTTTGAAGTTCAGAAGATAGAGGACGTAAAGGCAGAATTCCACTTGCTGCTGCCTTCTCCAGAGTGGTAATGATGTGCC